AAATTTTCTTTTAGTTTTTTTTGTTTCCCGTTTTTTTTTTAATTTTTTTACTATTTTTAAAAAAAAAAAAAAAAAAAAAAGAAAAATTTAGCTCTTAGGAAGTTCGTAGAAACTTCTCATACTTTTGAATTTCGGATGAAGTGGAAGCATTGGATTGTTATAAAAAAAAAGGGGAGATTTTCATGAATATGTTGAGATCCTAGCCTAAGAATCTTCATTGTGCCCGAGCTGCTTAGAGTTCGTAATTTCCTTATTGCCACTAGTGTGTCTCACATTCTTGTCTATAGGTAGGCGCTGGGATCCTTGCAATTCCTGCAGTGACACAAGAAGCTGGATTTCTGGCATCTGCTGTAACCTGCATCTTCTGCTGGATATTTATGGTAATTAATTATTATGTTGTGCTCGTCTATCAATCAATGTTTATCTGTCTATCTTTCCTTTTTCAATTGCATTTGTCTTTCTTATATTGAGAAGCTTTATGGGATTCCATTTCCTCAGTCAGAAGTCTTTTGTTTTTCTGCTTGATTAGAATCATTAGATGGAGTTACTTAACCACTCGGTCCTAATGTCAAACTCTATTATGTAGTCTCGGAGTCAGCTGCCCATACATGCATTTTCCTACTTCTATTCATCCTCCTCTCTTTGTCTCTACTTTTCTCTCTCTTTCAGCATATATGAGCACATGGATGTACGCTATTTTCTCGTTTTACTGTATTTTCATAATACACTCTTCTCTGAATTGGTGCAGGTCGTGACTGGACTGCTCATGGCCGAAGTAAATGTGAAGACAATGTGTGAGCTGGGTTCTGGTGGTGTCTCATTGGTAATTTCTTGAATATCCTTTGATGTATATGTATGTTAATCTCTATGGTAAAGCTAAAGCATTGCGAGTCAACCAATATTTTGCTAGTGTTATGTTATTTGTAGTCGGATGCAAGAAATTCTTTGCCAACTGAGTCAGGAAAATTGTTGTCACCTCGTCTTACATAAAATGATAAAACAGAGTGCATTGTACAGAGTGGATTTCCTGACTGCCACTGTTTAAATTTAGGAAATTCACTTTAAAATAAAGTTGAAATATCCCAGATTAACGTTGTATCATTATAATAAGTCAACATGTATTTTCCGCTTAACTGTGCTGCCAGTCTTAACAACCTGAATTTCGTCATATTATCAAATCTATTTCTTAGAAGTCTAAACCATGCTACTTCGATCTGGAATTTAACTGGCTTAAGAGCAAACTCTGAAGTCAATAAGTGCTTTGTTGTGGCTAATTTCAGGTATCGATGGCCATGAGAACCCTTGGAGGCGCTGGAGTACAGGTCGCCTGGTAGGATGAGTTAACTTCATTGATATTTTAAAAAAATAACTAACTTTTAAATCGTTCTACTTTGAATTGTCAATTTTTTACTCGTGATATTGTAAGCGTAACCATTCAGTTAATATCTTCTCATTAATTCTGCTCATTTAAATCCGATTTTATATTTGTGTCAGACTTGCCTCATCAACAACTAACAACAGTTCTGTTGTTTCTGCAGCTGGTCCTACATTTTCATTCACTATGCTCTTCTTGTTGCCTATGTGGCTCGTTCTTCAGATATTTTGACAAACTTTTCCGGCCTCCCAATGTACTATTTTTTCTCTATAGTTTCAAGAGAATGTCCCATGCTTTTCAATTCAGTTATCATGCTTCATTGTACGTGGAGGTCCCAGGATTTATTGTTAGGCATATCTTTATTGTCTTCATGACTAATGCAGATGATAAAAATTGGGTATTTCATGTGCTTAATAGTCCATTATACTTTAGTGTCTTCCAAAAGCATCATAACGTTCTGTATTATGTTGAAACGAAACTTGAATGGTGACATTTCTGTATTTCTCTGTCAGTTTCTCCATGGCATAAATCATGACTATTATTTTGTGGACATGGCATCTTATTCATAAATTAGGGTCAGATTCATTGTATCTTTTGTGTATTAAGAGCTAGTACTATTACAACGGTTAGGTGAAACCTGATGTAGTTATTAGATTCGTCTTTGGTTGTAGTATTTTAAATTGTTTGGATGATATCATAAGTAATTTCATATGATTGCTAGGTGTTGATGGGCAGCATTATGATTGCAGATGGGAAACTGCAACTTTGTTTTCACTGCTTCTTGGAGGTCTTTGCTACTCTGGAAGGTTAATTTTATCTTCTATTTCTCATTTTACATGTATTTTGAGAGATCTTGTATAAAATTCTGATTGGGTATGGAACAACTGGAAAAATTTTCTCGACGTAGTACTTTTTTCCACACATATACTCGATAGCCACTTATGTATGTCTATGCAAGCGACTTTTAAATGTGATTTACTTTCTCGAAAATTGATCCATTCAGTATGTACCGTGTCTTGGCAGGAAACATCGTTTTATGTGTTTATACGCCAAAGTGATGATTTCTTGTGTAAAAAAGGAGACGGGCACTATAGTTTCTTGTTGTCTTGCGGTTTTTTTCTGTTCTTGGATCGCATGCCTACACCAAGTGGACTTTTCTGTACTTTATGAACTTTGAAGTGACTTGAGTTTTTAATTTCTCTGTAGTCAGCGGATTATTGGTGCAGTAAATGGTTCTCTAGTATTTGGCATCATAGCATCCTTCACAGCTCTCGTGGTAATTACCATCCTTCTTCAATTTTATTGCATAGATGCTCATAATTATTCATAGAATTCATCAGAAGGATCTGTTGGGTACAAGCAGTTCAGTTTAAATTTGCATGAGGAATTTGTTTGGAAGTGTTTTAACCTGTAGTCTTCATCATAAGAAGAAGGTTTGGTAATTGAGTCGATTATTATTGCCATTTTCATTGCTTGTAATTAGCGCTAGATTTATGATAAAATAGTTGAAATCCATGATAATTTTTCCACATTACGGTTGATGCATATTTCTTAGGTAGTTGCAAGTGGAGACTTACACTGGGATGCGCTTCTTAAAGCCAACTTCGAAGCTGCTCCTCGTAGTATACCCATTATAGCACTTTCTTTCGTCTATCAGGTAGCAAAACAAGCCTTTATCAAATCCAGTTTTAGATAGTTTTTCTAAGATTTTAACCCTGATTTCAAAGCTCGCTCTCGCTGCAGAATGTAGTGCCAATTCTTTGCACAAACCTAGAAGGGAATTTATCAGAAGTAAGGTGATAACTCTTAATTGTCATCTGTTCCTTACAAATGCCAAAATGAATTTATAAACCGATCGTTTACTTAGACAATGTGTGTGCACAATATACAATTGTACTACGGCTTCTATCTTAATAGCTCAAGGCATGCCTGATAATGTGGATTATGTTGAGAATTAGAAATCCTAATTCTATACCACAAAGATTGATGGGGATTCGCCTTAATATGAAACTACGTCCTTTTCCGCTATTGTAGTAAAATCGCGCCCCTTGTTTTCTTTAACCTCTCTCTTTTGTTGATGACTACATGAACCCTAATGACGGCTCTCTATTTACATGATCTCAATCTGCGGATTAGATAGTACATGACGATAGCTAACTCTTTTGATCTACAGGACGGCAATTGTTATTGGCACAGCTATTCCACTTGCTCTATTTCTTGTTTGGAATGCTGTCATTCTTGGAACCATCACAGATATGGGGTCGGGTACTATTATCGATCCACTACAACTATTGAGAACTACTAATACAGTTGTTGGGGTTAGTGTGTTTGTTTTTCAATGGATGTCTAATTTTGATTGCTTCAGCATATTTGATTTCAAGATGTAACACAGTAACTGTTGACTTGCAGCCAATAGTTGATGTGTTCTCACTTCTTGCGATCGCCACATCTTACATCGGGTTTGTTCTAGGCCTTTCCGACTTCCTTGCCGACTGTAAGCTCTTCTCCATACCAATAAAGGTTACACTTGTTTTTATTTATTTATTTATTTTTTTTTTTACACGTTTCCTTGATATCAATATTGGGTTTAATTATCCCCCTCAGTGCTGAAACTCCCGTCCGGTCAGAACAGACCTCTGCCATATCTACTTACTTTGTTTCCACCGTTGGTACTATCGTTGCTCGATCCAGAAATATTCTTTAAAGCCCTGGATTTTGCTGGAACTTATGGAGGTATAATTATAGTATTTGCCTGCTTGAACAGAATCTCACCGATCTTGTGTGGGTTTATGTATGTTTTGATCTGTGGAAACATAATATACTTTGTTAGTTACGTAGAGCATGTCTTGCTAAGCTTGAAATAAATGAACTTTTCTTATTGGTGAAAGTTTGGAGTAAATAAGTCCAGCACTAATATATGAGTTACTTGTAACGGCTCGTTTGGTAAGACTTTTGAAAACCTAAAAGTTGCTTGTAAGGCTAAGAAACCATTTTTAGGCATGTTTAGATAATTTTCTGGATGTACTTTATCCGGTTAAAAAGCTTTTAGATGAAGTTGACCAAATATGACTTTCTTAAGAAACTCTTCTACGAAGAGCAGAAGTCTAGCTAAAAGGGCTCCAAGTTATCCAAGCATGTTTAGAAATGAAAAATTACTTGAAGTAACCTTTCTTTTCTTTTAAGCTTAGCCAAACATGCTCTAAGCTATATCATAATTCGATATGCTTCCCACTTTTCCACGTTGAAATTTTCATACCGGTCCTAACAGGGAATTTGTGTCTATGTTGGGGTTTTGTAGTGTTGGTGCTGTTTGGAGTTCTTCCAGCTGCAATGTCCTGGAAAGATCGGTATTCAAAACCATCAAAGTCTCCAAACATTCCCCCGTTGGTTCCTGGAGGAAGAATCACCCTCTCACTTGCGATTGGAGGTGCAGGGTTCGTTATTATTTCTGAAATACTTGAAAACTTCGGACATGCATAGTCGTAGGTATGAAATTAATCCGCCAGGCCCCACACACACTCTCTGAACAGATTTTACCTTTACGTGTTTTCTAAGAGAGACGACCTTTCGAAGAAAAGTACTTATTCTAATCAGGGTTTTATTTATGCTCGTCTAGCTATTTCTTATCTCCTTTGAATTTACTTATTATCGTCCTAATTTCCGACGAAAGTAGGTGGAAAACACATAAATTTACAGTGTAAATATATACATTGATTTTGAAAACATTACGGAACAGTAAGTTCCAACAGGCAGACATGGACACTGGAATTTCTTTAGAAGAAACGAAAATGAAAGACAGACAAAAACCTTTAGTTGTCACCGTTCGGTGGAGCTACTTCCTCCTTTTTATAATTCTGTTCTGATGAACATCCAAAGGGCCAGAAGAATGAGATGAAAGCTCTCTTAGTTGCACTTCCAGGACTTTCTGTAGGCAGCTCGAGCCAACAAACCGGACAGGAATTATGTTGAAGCAACCAAGGAATGAATAAACGTGCTTTTTTCTTAAAAGAAATTATCAGATGGTTATTTTCCAATTTACGCTAAGTGCTTAGCTTCTACCTGACTGCCCCGTCTTAGGCTAGCTATTAGCCAAAGATAGCCAGCAACTTCTAACTATACAAAGCTAACCATTATATCGTTGATCTAGAGATACATATGAATCAGAAATCCAAGTGCAGGATTCTTTCCTTCATTTTCTCTCTTCTTATTAATTTCAGATTTTTTAATAAAATAATATTTCACGTAAATCTAAAAACTTTTTCTTCTATTTTAACCACACATTCTTCAAAAAAATTAACATTCCCTTCATTACAATTCGAAATAATGGAGCCCAACAGGGGCTAAAAAAGGAAAGGACTTCAGATAATGCTAAATATCATGATAACGGTTGGTTGAAGCTGAAAAAGACATCGCCTACTTGCTTAATATGTTTGAAGCAGAAATTTCACCCATGCAAAATTCAGATTAAAGACACAAGCCTAGGGATTCCATTTTAAAATACAATCTTGCACCTTATGACTACATTACTGCTTATATAAGCAACGCTAGGATGAGGAAAAAGGTATCCTATATTGCTCAGGCTTGGCCATTCTCCTTAAGCGTGCAGATCACGTTTCAAATTTGATTGTATCGTTTACAAGGATGCAAACTCGCACCCGTTGCTTACAATATTTACACAAAGAAGAAAAGAGGTCCCTCGAAAAGTACATGAGATTCAATCAAATTTTCAGAATAGATCGTATTATTGTTGGCAGTTGTCTTCAGATAATATTCCAGTACAGACAAAACATAGAAAACAAAGTGCAGCAGCAAATATTACGAGTACCCAGGCAAAAGTGCAATTTACTAGCTAATCAAGAGCCATGGCTTGGGGATCCCCAGTGGCATCCTCAACTCCAGTCCTATTCTCATCAAATGACGTTCGCATTTCCTCCATTAGATTTCTCTGCTCCTCCTCAATGTTATTCTGTAATTCATCCACCTGCAAAATATAACTGAGTAAGATAAAAAGGATTACCAAGTACACGACAAACTACGAAAACTAAGCAGCGACGCACTGATCTACATTCCACTGAATATATAAGGGAAATCAGCATCCTATGTATGGCATCACTTACAGGCATGTGGAAGAAGTATTGCTCAGTGCTTACAAACCATTAGTGATGACTATTATTATTATTATTATTATTTTTTATAAGTAATCAAATATTTTATTAATCACGGATAATATACAGGAAGTGCATTATCAGCTTATACAAGAAAGAAACGACACAAAGTTGGGCAACCTGTCCATACGAGTAGTAGCCACAGCATTAAACCAATTATACAAGGTCAAATAAAATGATTCTTTGATATGCTCTGTAGTCCTTGAATGATCGTCAAAACAGCGACTGTTTCTCTCTCTCCACACACACCAGACGATGCATCCTAAAATGAGGTCCCAAACAAGCTTGCTATCCTTATTACGAAATTTTCTCCTCCATGCCTTCAATACATCCTCCATACACCGCGGGAAAACCCAAACCATGTGTTGAGAAGCTAAAATATCGATCCACATGGAACGTGCAACGTCACAATGAAAGAACAAATGGTCAATCGTCTCCCCAGTCCTCCTACACATATAACACCACTCCGTGACTTAAAAACCCTTTATTTGGAAGTTATCCACTATTAACACCTGTCCCTTCACAACCTCCATAGTAAAAATGCCACCTGATAGAGCAGTTTACATTTTCATACCATCTTCCAGAGGAATAAGCTATCCAGATGTCTCAATAAGGACTTAAAATAAGTACCAACAGAGAAAATACCATCACATGCCAAACTCCACTTGCTACCATCTTCCAGGGGAATGAGCGGTCCGCAGGTCTCAATAAGGACCTAAAATAAGTACCAACTGAGAAAATACCATCCCATGCCAAACTCCACCTGTTACAATCACCCTCTCCTACCCTAATGCGCGCCTCATACAAGGAGGTCATAAGCATCGCATAATCATCCAACCCCCAATCCTGTAGACCCCTCCAAAACGCAATGTTCCAGCAGATATTCCCATTATGTATATGTAGAACCTCCTTCACTATAGTAGATAGCTTCAGAGCAATACGATACAAAGAAGGAAACTCCAATCTTAACAACCGATTTCCACACCTACAATCTTTCCAACATTTGATAGTATTGCTATTCCCCACCATAAACGTCAATCTATCTTGGAAGTCTCTCCACCCTCGTCAGATTTACTTCCATAAACTCACCCCATGAGAACTACGACCCTCAACTGAGCACCATCCTCCCTCCATAACATCATATTTCACCTCTATAATTTCTCTAAAAAAGTTCCCCATCTCCACGCCAAATCTCCACAACTACTTACCCAACAAAGCCTTATTAAACACTACTAGACTTCTCAATCCAAGGCCCCCCCATTCCTTATGGGAGAACAAGCTGCCTCCTAATTAACCAAGTGAAGTTTCCTCTCCTCTCTTCCCCTAACCCTCCCCATAGAAACTCCCTTTGAATTCTCTCTAATCTTTTTGCCACTGAGATGGAGATAGGAAACAATGACAAGAAATAAGTAGGGAAGTTCGATAGGATGGACTTAACGAGGGTAAGACAGCCTCCCTTTGAGAGATACATACGTTTTCAACTTGCTAGCCTCCTTTCCACCTTTTCCACAATGCTGTTCCAAATATGTATATTTTTAAATCGTGCTCCTAGGGGGAGTCCAAAATATGATATAGGCAGCTGTGCTATTCTACAACCCAATATAGCTGTCAATTCTTCCACATTATCGACATTCCCACTTTGATAGCCTCAGGTTTCCCCAAATTTAATTTTAATCCAAATACAGCTTCAAAGCAAATAAGCAGACGACACGAGTTCCTGAATTGCTCAGCATCTACATCACTGAAGATCAATGTGTCCTCTGCAAATAGCAAATGAGGTACCTGCACTTGGTCAATCATAAAGCCCCTTAACCTCAAGCATCCTAGTGAAAGCCTTCATAACAATAACAAACAGCAGTGGAAACAAAGGATCCCATTGCCTTAAACCTCTACTGCTCTGGAAATAACCATGAGGAGTGTCGTTCACCAAAATAGAGAAGGAAACCGTAGAGATACAAAAATTAATCCATCTGCACCATTTATCCCCGAAGCCACATCTTTTGAGCATGTACACGAAGAATCCCCAGTTCACGTGGTCATAATTTTTGAATATCAAGCTTACGTAACATCCCTGGAATCTCTATGCGCAATCTCGAGTCAATACATTCATTTGCTATAAGAACGGAATCCAGTATCTGGCGCCCTTTGACAAAAGCATTCTGAAATTTAGAAATCACTTTCCCCAACACCTCTTTTAATCTATTTGCCAAATACTTTTGCAATAATCTTGTACATCCCACTGACTAAACAAATGGGACGAAAGTCTTTAATATTTGATGCTCCCGATTTATTTGGAATCAGCACAATAAATGTAGCATTAGCACTCCTCAAGAAACTGCCACACTGAAATAAATAAGTAAAGACATGCATATTGTCCGATCGCACCTCATCCCAATAGGCCTTATAAAATGAGAACGAGAATCCATCCGGTTCTAGGGCCTTATCGTCATTCATGCTGAACACCACTTCCCTAATCTCATCCTCCCCAAATAGTCTCTCTAACCAATTGGCATCTTGCTCAGTAATAGAAGAAAAATCTAAACCCTCCAACTTGGGCATCCAGTCAAACTGCTCCCGATAAAGATTTTGATAAAAACTCACTATTTAGGTCACAATATCCTATGGGTCCTCATAATTAACACCATCTACCTCCAATAATATAATAGAATTGTTACGTCTGTTGGAATTAGCGAACCTACGGAAAAACCGTTTACACTTATCCCCCTCCTTCAACCACTTCCTAGATTTCTGATGCCAAGCTATTTTCTCCATCTCCCCCCTTAATTCTCCACGTCTCTCCCTCTCATCCCCTACGAGTCATTAACTCTTCTCCCTCCTATCCAACTCTTCTATTTCTGAAATACATTGCTTTTTATGTCAATTAACATCTCCCACTACCTCTTCATTCCACCTCTTTATATAGCTCTTCAAGGATTTCAATTTCTGATCCAACACATAACTGGAAGACCCCCTGAAATCGTAAGCTGCCCAACAATCCCATACTTGTTCCCTAAAGCCTTCTACTTTTAGCCACATCTTCTCGGACCTAAAAGGCCTCCTTTCACTACACCTCACATTCCTTGATAGCAAGATAGAAAAATGATCAGTCCCAATCTTCTTTGAGTGACCTATGGGCACTTCTTGTCCCACTCCCCACTAATCAGAAATCTATTTAATCATGATAGAATAGGTTGATCCCGATTAGAGGACCAAGTAAAGTTTCCTCCAATCAAAGGCAGATCCACCAACATGTTCTCCCTGATAAAATTAGAGAACTCTTCCATTGCCCTTGTTAATCTCCCACCGCTTGACCTCTCGGTAGGAAAGCGAACCACATTAAAATCTCCCCTAATGCACGTTGGAATGTTCCACCAAGCCATCATCCCAGCCAACTCATCCCACAATCCACCTCTACTCTCATCCGCATTAGGCCCGTAACTATAAACATCCAACGAAATCCATACTAATATTGATGAATGAAAGCGATAAAGAAAATAGCCCTTCACTGACCTCCTTCATATGAAAGACTCTAATATCCCACATGACTAAAACACCTCCTAAAGCCCCCGATGGCCCCACATATTGAAACCCTACATGATGTCCCCCCATAGACTGTTCACTATAGCCCTCAAGACGCACTCCAATTTGGTTTCTTGTAAGCATACAAGGTCCACCCTCCATCCCCTCAGCAAATTTCGAACACCCAACCTTTTCCCCACTTCATTAAGCCCCCTCACATTCCTACTAATAATTTTTGGGATCATCTTAACGTTCTGTCATCCCTTCCAAGCACACCTTTCTTTGACTCAACACCCTTAACGTCATAATTTACTAACCACTCGAGCCGTTTAAGTTCGCGTTCGCCCTTCCTTCTTAATTTACGTCCTTGTATACACATCTCTTGTCTCCTATTGGCCTCCAGTTCCTGGAATAATTGCAAAAATCTACTTTCATATCCTTCGCAAGACACACCAACCAACTTACTGAAGTCCTGAATTTTTTTAAAGGACTCAATTGAGGGTGGGGGTCCAACATCCATTTCATTGTTTCCTCTACGTGACGATACTCCAAGGGATCATAGGAGTATCCCTCCACTCCGTCTACCTACACCACATCACTATCTGTTCCTCCCTTCTTAGTGCCATCTACCCACAACACCATATCTTTTTCAGTCCCTAATTCCTTTTCTTTTTGGGGCTTAGATTACCTTCTATTATATGTGTTCCCAACCATGATTTTCGAACATGTCACCTCATGTTGTTTCAGGACTGTCAAAACTACTTCCTTTTCCAAAACATGTCCCGTCTCTTGCTCAACTAATAATAATCCATTAGCCTGCAGTGTCGTGCCCATATCTCCCATTGTTGTCGGCTCGAAATTCACCATATTCGGCTCCCCTTCGTTTGACCAAGGTGTCACCTCCCGATCTACTTCAATCCTCGAGTCATAATCATCCTTATCATTAGAATTAGAAAGGGCTACTTCCGGTGCTAACTCCTTAGGAGCCAAGCTCTCTGTTTGCTTTCCATTAGCTAGACTCATCCAAGCCCACCCCATACTTATGACAATAATACCTCTTGGAGTGCGCCTCAGACCCACATCTCACTAGTCTAACTAATTCATCTAATTCCCCTTTCAACGTCTAGATACGAGCCCTTATCTCAGCACTATTCAACAAACCACCATATGAACCTTATGTTTCACTTGCAGTAACCATCTTTTCCTTTCGTACTAGCACCATTTGATCAGTGTTCTGCGAGGCCTGTAGGTTTGCCATAACTCCAGCGTAGGTCTTGTCTAATTCCTTCATTCACCGTTCGCCATTTGGCCTTACCTCCACCTACAAATGAATCAACTACCCCTGGAACACCCTCGAGATCGTTGCCCATCCTTCTCTATTTAAACCTTCCGGCACCATCACAACTCCCTTCCGACGCCCTTCCCCATACTGTGCGATAGTCAAGTACCTTCCACGGCTGTTCACACATCATTGTGCCCAAAAAGCTCTAGATGACTTATTAAACTTGGAGAAAAAATCCTCCCACTTACTAGTCACCCTCAACTTGTTCACCATGTTCACCATCCAAAGTGCTCCAAATCTCCCCATACAGATTGCGTTCGATACCTTTGAGACCCACTGTCATCCTACAATGCCGAAATTGCTAACACAAACTGCAAACTCCTTCGCCTCTACTTGAAAACGCCGATTGAAAACCAACCATACCGTATCCATCCCTTGGCTTATTTCCTTGTTTGTTTGTAAATGGCACATTAGATTGCAGAACAGAATTGTAGGTGATCTGGAAACGATTGGAGGAATTTCCTAACTTGTTGGCACCGGCACATGGCCGACACGCACTAGCAAACCTGTCGTCGGGACGGCGCATGCTCTTCGCAGCCGCTCCCCCTAGGTCGGAAAGACCTGCAACATCCTCCTGTCAGGCGCATGGGCCGAAATAGTAGCCGGACGCTGAGGCATCTAGATTCGAATCCCAAATCAATCCCTGCCTGTGAGTTCTCTCCTACTACCATATTCTCCAACAGCTGCTTCAACTCATGTACTTAGACCTCCGGTCGCAGCAGTGGATCAAGCAACGATGCTAGGGTTTTCACCTAGGGCCACTCGTGAGTGTGGAGGTGTATGTGGCATGACGCCGATTTTTTTGGGTTCGTCGGGCGACGCCTTGTTGGGGAGATTGATTTGGATATTAGGGAGGGGGGCTCCATCGGATTCTAAGGATTAGAGAGCAAATATGTTTGATGACTATTAATTTTTATCTGTAATGCAGTTCATGACGGTGCGTTTCATTCCTTCCCTCTTTCCTTTTCACACATATTAGCATGAGAAGATGAGATTGATGAAGAGGACAGGTCACGGTGGAGAGGGGAAAGAGGACAGGAGGAGGACAACCAAGTGTAATAATTAGGATAATGTATAGAGAGGGAGGAAAAAGTTTAAAACTCAAAGAGGATAACGTAAGCAGTTAAAGAGAAGAATACTTCGTGATCTGCAAAAGATTAATGCTTTGCCATGCCAAAGCTAGGATGTGAAGAGACTGACATGTAGAGTGCTCGCCCATAGTTGTATACTTATTTTTCCATCTAGGTTTTTTTAACGAATATTTATATATCTGCCCATATTCATTATGCAAATATTTCACTCCAATATTTTGAGTATGAAAAAAGTTCAAAAGTAAATATAAAATTAGTAAATTTTTTAATGTATTTTTGAATTGATTCATCCCTGGCCTCATTCCCATTGGAAAATATCATTATTGCTCGGCCGGCACCGACCATTATTGGATGAGATCCTCAGTAGTGGTGACCACCCTTTCACTCTTCCACTGACTGATACATGTACCAACTTTTTTCTTCCAAAACAGAAACAAAACCAAGTTGCATACAACAAATAACAAGATTCCTAAGCCCTTAGTCCAACAGTCCAGACGTATGTTGTTGGACTTGCAATTAATCAAATATAGTCAAATTTTAACACTTGCACATCCCTCAGAGAGAGAGTTCTTTTCCCTTTCCTAGCACCTCATTATGGAGTTCACTGTCCTACAGTAGGCAGAAATTCTGGTTTCCAAGATTTAGGTATGTATGGAATCTCAGCAGGTCAGATATTACATAAGTGGGAGTGCAGTTAAGAAGTCTATATAACCTTAGTGTTGGCAAAAAAAAAAAAAAAATCGTTCTTCAGATTCAACAATTGGTACAAACAACATATGATGGTGCAAAGCAACACCCTGAAGATGAAATGGTACCAACAGCTAAAAATTTTTGTATCACAAACTCTAAAGAACAGAAACATGTTTTCCTATTTTTCCTTTTTTTTTCTTTTTTACTCTCATCTTAAAAATAGAAAAAACCAAGAGGATACATAATTACTTCATTTGATCCTGTATTTATTGAATGCAAGTAACATTTCTGGTAATAAGTTCCTCCCTTGCAATGAGGTGACAGACATTTTATACGAAGTGCAGAAAAAAGTTAAAATCGCATGAGATATGAAAGCATTTATGTTGTGCAAGTAAATAACCAACACGCACCACATGTAACAGAAGAGCAAATTGCTTTTTGCGAAGTTCCAGTGTCCTTGACCCAGCAGTGTTCTCTGCTTCTAACATTGCAATCTCTTTCTCGAGATCTGTAATGATTTTTTGAGTTTCTGATCTTGGAGGCTGCATGGCAATCAACTTCCTAATAGCCTCACACTCCTCTTTGTGCTGCCTCTCAGTCTTGCTCTCTTCCAGCTGTTTCTTCAGATCTTCTATATCGGCCTGTGCCTGTAAAATCTGCCTATTTATCTCATCTTTCAACTCGTTGAAGTTTTCCTTCTCTCTAATATTAGCATCTATAACTGCTTTACTCTTGAGAAGCGGAATTTCAAAAGTATTCGTCTCCTGTAAAAATGCCTTGGCAAGTCTCTCACAGTCACTATGGTTGTTGGCTTCTTTCTCTATTTCCAGCACGAAAGCTGTAAACTTTTTCTGAAGTTTCTTCAATGGAGGATCACCTCTTGTTGTTGTCGTACGGGTCAGAAGCCTGTGCTTAATTATTATGTCATCTTCAAGTGGACCAAAAGCATATTGGGGTGTCGTCGTCTCACCCCTGCCAGTAACCTTCCTACCTTTCAACATTTAGACTGTAATTTCTTACTTCCAACTATAAAATTGTCCACCTGTGAGCACGCCGAAAAAAAAAAAAAAAAAAAAAAAAACAATATATCACACTAGAAGACACAAAAGACGCCTATTAAGCATGCATTAGAATTCGAAACTATTCGATTCGTAAGATTGATTAGTATTGAAAGTTTGAGATAATTGCATGAAACATTTTTCTCCACGAATTTCAAAATTGAACTAAATAATTTTCCACAATTCAAATCAGAACCACAAAATCGTGCTGCTAAAAGGAATGTAAGAATATTTGCACATACATACCTTTAAATATCATAAACTGCTTTCTAGTATTCTAGTTGATAGAGAAAATTACTTAATTACACGCCTAAATGGCTTTGTACAAAATGATTCCAACGTGCAACCAGTAGTATAAAATCAAAAGAAAATCACAGAAACACCAAACAATCTATTTAACTATAAAAGAAAAATCCAAACTTGATTGGCACCCAACGAGACAATACAGATCGGAGTCGATGGGTAGAAGAGAGCTTAGGGTTTTTTGATGATGTTTTTTTTGAGGGGGTGAGGACAGTACAGTTGATGGGATCCTTCGCAAGCCAAACGAATAAAGCGTGTGTCTGAACCAATAAATCGCTATTTCCCTGTTCGTCATTTTATCATCTCTAATTCTCTTAACAAGACACGTTTCCCAGAAAGTAAAATTGCAAATTTATCATCCAATATTTTGTGTGGTCTGCATCTCAACCTCGGAAAACTTAGCAATATCAACGATCTATGTGGTTTCCATATCCAAATCATGTCTTACGTCGAGTCCCAACATTGGCAAACGGTTGGGGACTAAAGTTGCAATTTATGTATGAATGTTCACTTTATTGTTATTAGTTCATCAATTACAAAAGTATCTTGGAAAACTTAGCAAAATCAACGATCTATGTGGTTTCCATATCCAAATCATGTGTTACGTCGAGTCACAACATTGGCAAATGGTTGGGGACTAAAGTTGCAATTTATGCATGAATGTTCACTTTATTGTTACCAGTTCATCAATTACAAAAATATCTTTTTACTATGAAATAAAACAAGCTCTTTATAAAGAGACAAATGTTACTTAAAATGTGCTTAATAACAACAAAAATATAGTCAAGATAAAAAAATAAAATAGAATAAAGTATTCTTTTTATACTTACTATATAACCGTGTTCGATGCCCATTATTTCATCAGAATAAGTTTTGTAACGGTAAATTTTTAAGAATGTATGATTTAAAAAGTAAGAAAAATATTTGGATTTACATGTAAAATATCTTATTGTGAGAATGTGCAGTAAAAACGTTGGCAAAATATAGCCCTTGTTTGAGCTCCATCTTTTGGGGAAGAATGAATTTTTGAATAGTGTATTGATGAAAAGTGTATGGTTAAAAAATGAGAAAAAGTTTTGAATTTGCGTATAATATTATTTTATTAAAGAATGTGTAATTAAAATGATGTCAAAACACTGTTGAAAAATGAATTTTTCAAAAGAATGGGGCTCAAACAAGGGCATAAAAGGTAGTGAGTTCTAGATCTTCACCAAGAAAAGAAAATTGACATAGAAGTCACAAATAAGCAGCTTTTTTTCCCAGATAATGCAACACAACATGAGAAATACCATACAGTCAGCTTGGTATTTATAAGCGGTTAAGTTCTAACAAAATTAAGCTAATATATATACATAGAGACTGAACATTAAGCTCAAGCAGTGCTAGCATTAGAAGCAAAAGCAAATCTACAACTTCGATTTCCTAACGGACCTCCAGTAGACACACGAGTAAAATCCTAAAAGCTCAGCCGAGCTACAAAATTTTCACAGCTTAATGTCAGAATGAACTTGTTCTTCGAAGCTGATATCTTGGTTCATCAAAATTACAAGACACCGTTTTCTCCCATTCCTAGAAAGAACAACAATATTAGTTACAGTTCCTTGAGTATCAAGAGGAATACAACAAATAGAAACAGCTTTGTTCTCTATGAAGAAGTAACCGATATTTATCATCACTGTCCACAAACACTGAGAAGGGGGACGAAGGAAAAGCTAAGTTTTCAACTATCCTCCCGAAGAAGAAAAAGAACTGAAATAACAATCAGTATGTACACTGATTTATATGAAGAGTACTTTGAAAAAGTTTATGATATCACGTTTTCTGTTAAACTAGCAAACATTTCCAGAGACAAGATGATATAAAATGAATCTGAAGCAATTCTCAGTTACGAAATCAACACAGAATGGTTTAAAATAGAACCAATTTCCCCCGTTCTACACACCCATTAAGCATTTTGCAACTAAAAGAAGAAGAAATCTCAGAAAGGCATCTCATGTCAACCATATCACATTTGAAAAACCAATGCAATGGAAAATGCCTTAGTCAGCCCAACTCCATAAACTCCTAAAGTCAGAATTCAAGGCCTAAACAATTTGAGAGTTGAGCAACATATCAATTATCTGTTTCGAAATGGAAAAACCTGAAAACAATTAACATAGGTTAAGCACGTGCTATTTGTTGCTATCAGTCAAAACAGCATAAATACAACATAACAGAAGTTCCATGGAGTGGGGAGTTTTATGCCAAACACCAAAATATTACTACGAAAGCTTTAGTGGAAAAGGAAGGGAAAAAATTGATAATACACATAGCACATAAAGTGATTTATAAATGGTATAAAGATTGCTCAATGATTTGAAGGAACTATGTAGACACCATCCAATATACAATGGAGGGTGGAGGCTCATTACGATAACAGGAAAGTAACATCATTCAAAGAGAAGGTCCCAAGGAGTTGGGAGTTTAAAAGAATAATAATAATAATAATAATAATTAGAAAACGTGGTTTGTTTGTACTCAATATTTATTAAAATATTTTCAATATTTTCCTGTCTATTTCTTTATTTTATTATCTCGGGGAGTCCAGACACATTGCTAGCCAACAAGCCAAAGATGTCGGGCCAACATCCGATTAGACACTTGTGGATAGAGTGAAGTAAGAAGCACAACAAACAGTTAATCAAGGAAGAATGTGTAGCTTATGAGCATAAAAAACATTATGACACAATGTCATGAAAAGTAAGATGTGTTAATTTTATTACACCGAGCCACTCAGTCACATTTGTCAAGTAAATAAGAAAATTACTTAGTTCAACTATTATTAATTATAACAACCTTATTCATGCAACCACGGTGAGGCTGCTGCAATACTATTATGTGCTAATAGGCAAGAAAGCAAGGGCAGAGCCGCAGGGAGGGAGGTGGGGGTCAAAAAAAGGTAAAAAATTATACTGGGCCGATACTTTGAAAACAAAAAATCCATTAGAAAAAAAAAGAATTTTCCTTAAAAAAATCCCTAAACATCACATCACACCATATTTCCCGAACCGGAGTGAAATCAAAGAAACGCCACAATAATAAAACCCTAAGCATCATATAAACCATGATATTCTCATAATTACTTCACAATATTACATAACATCCTTCAGTTTCAATCCAATAGTCTCAATGATGCAAGTGCATGCTTTTATATTAAGTCATTGTTTAATGGAAATTAAAATCCAGATTTTAATTTAAGTCAAATTCAAAATTAATTTTAACCACACATTGCATGAGATCCACAACTTTTCACTACATATTTCATCAACTTTTATCAAAATTTACTAAAAATCTAATTTTAATTCCTGCCACATAGGGGCTAACTTTGAAGGGTGGATACAAGCCTACAATTTGCCTCCACCTACATATTGATATAAGCTTTCATCCAGAATTACATTCCTATAGATAAAAGGAAAAGTGAAAAGTCATGGTTGCAGATATAGTTCTTACAGCCAAACGGCCAACTTTATCAAACCTCATATATTGTCTCTAGGGACCCAATCTTGAAGGTATTCTTTAGCATTCTGTTCAATCTGCCGAACAATGGTTTATTCATCTCTACCTTCTATCACAATTTCAACAGTTCTTCACACAAATGTTTACACATCTTCTAAATCATTTACTGTCAGAAGCCTTAATAGTACTAGACTATGTTCTCTCAATCTTCAACCTAAGATGGCTCTGGAATGCATTGACCCAAAAATTGAGATCAGAACATATCCTCATAGTTGTCTTTGTGACTGTATTTAAATATTAAACAGAAAATGTCTAGATTACGTCGGTAATTGACTTTTCTCAGGTTCCATTTTGTAGCAGCAATTAACTTCTACTTCTACTGAGACTCCTTCACTGGCTGGAAATTTAGTTGATATTTTATTTTTTCTATCGATTTTCTTCTATTTACATCAAGACATTTTCAGAGTTACATTTTCATGATTGTTTATAAAGCAGTCTCAAATTTGAAGCTCATCACAACACAAGAAAAAGTAACTAGCCTGACAAGAAAATTGGTGTATGAACTTTGTCACCTTATTCTAAGAGATGCCGCATTAATGTCCAATCAATGACAACAAATAATAGCATGACTTACAAAGAAAATTGCCGTATGAACTCTCTCGGGGAACTATTACAAAGTTTACAGATAGGAATACAGTCAAAGCCTAACTTCAAAATCAGGAAACATATATTAGCACTCAAAATTTTTTAGAAAACTGCCTCATTGATCATTCATTAGTTAAGGTCCGACACTCCAGTTTGGTGATGTTTAGAAACCATGTAAACATAAAGGATTATATATTACTATGCAAAGTACAGACGTGATCAGACAAAATGCATAAATCATAATCAAATGAAGAAGACTGACAGTTTTCATTCAATATGACGTGACAAGAAATGCAATAAAAATTTTAGGTAGGAACACAAGATTTAAAACAACTTCACAATCTCTAGGCATTTTAAACCATGCAAGAAAGCACCATACTTTTTCAGACCTACTCCCGATACTAAGTAGCAGTCTAAGTGGCTAAGCTATAATAATGGACAATTTATACATGCAAAAACTTGATGCAGTGAAGCTGACTGATGAAATCACCACAGGAATTGTGTGAATTAAAGAGCCCACAAAAATTACCCAAGTCAAATCTTCTTTAACAAGTTGACAAATAGGAATATATACTTTTTTCTTAGCATACTTATATTTTATTACCAGAACTCATGATAAGTGCCTCAAAGTTTCCAATGCTGAGTCACTTTAAGTCAACAAGTTCCATATTGAGTGTTCTCCATAATCACTTAGTAGCGTTGAAAATTTGGAAAGATTATAAGATTATTCTCCATAATATTTCTCCAATGATGTGGGATAATTTTTCCATTGTGTGATCATCACGTAATCTTTCCTTTTAAAGCTATTTGTAACACTATAAATAGGATCTTCTACTTTGTGTATCTTGTTGCTGCTGTCCTATTGTGGTGACAAAGCCACTTACAAGTTTTTATTTCCATGGCACTGAAACCTTGAATAAACTCAGTTGTTTTTTCCCCTTTTCTTCATTGGATTTGTTTGCTCTGAGTTAATTATCCTCTTCATGAAATTGGAGAAATCATTAGGATGGTATCTGCATCATACAAAAATATGTTTTGCTTCGAGAGTTGATTTTCCTGCAAGTGAAGATCTTGGAAGATGAATAAACTATTCTTATAATCACCTATTCCCTATTCTTATAATCACCTATTCCCCTCCCATGAGAGGGGGAGCCACCTTCTGCCCCTATAAAAAAAATATTCATATATGACCATTTCATCTAGTTTTAATGTTACATTGGGATTTCTAAGCAAATTTCATTTCTAGTGCTTCAGATTTAGAGTCTCATGGTTTGGATTTTATACATTTCTTATGGTCCTCATGGTGCTTCTCTTTTCTGACCAGTGTGGTCATTTGGTGCTGGTGGATCTGGTGGCGCTGTGATGGCCCTTGCCCCTGTTTCTTCTTCTTGTGGGCTCTGTGGTGGTTCTACTTATGATGGACTCATGGTGAAGGCTGGTATATTGTTGTCGCTGCCTGGACCTTTGAACCATTCTGTTTTTGGTAAAGCCTCTGGGATAATTGGACTTTGTTTGGGGCTCATGTGATTTCCTATACTGGTCTCTAATTCTGATTTAAGTTGGCCCAACTTGTTGATAGATTTCCCTCTGTTCCTTGTTTACTTGCTGAACTACATGAAAGAAAATCATGTTTTCTCATCCAGGAAGTCAATTTCCATCACCTCTGTTGTCTTAGCTTCTTTGCTCGCCTAGGTTCTTGTTAAGCCAGTCTTTTTTCTTCATCTTTGGGTGGATTGCTAGTGCAACCCCTGCATCTTTGGAGTGCTACTCTTTACATGCATCTTCGACAAGTGTCTAGCTATATTGGTGGATGACGATTTTCTTCCGCACCAGCTTCTAGTTCATTGGTCAGTTTAGTCAACATGCATTGTAAAAGCAATTCTAAAGTATCATTAGAGCTCTGGAGCTTCGAAAGAGGACAAATTCTCGGATCAATTAAATTTTGAAACTCAATTTGGTTTCTACAACACTCTATTGAGTTTGAGTGAGGATGTTGAAGATATGGGAAGATTATAAGATTATTTGACTTGATATTTTTTGACTAGTGAGGATTGTTTTTTCTTAATAATTGATTATGTGATTATCACTGGGTCTTTAGAAATTAAACCTACGATGTTTGGAAGGCATATAATATAAGCCGAAGCAATTTATCATTTGGGTATATAACGATTTTGTCACCAGGACCTTTCCCCAAATTAGGCATTAGAAATACAAGACAAACTTGACTAAGCTGTTGGCAACTGTTCAATCTGAAGCTGTACTGTAGAGAGAAATTTAACAAACAAATCTATGGACCTGCCAGCCCAGACCTAAAGTTGAAATCCGAGATTCTAAAAAAAGCAACTAAAGCAAATAAAATGACAAATTATGATAACTATGCTGATGGCAACTTCAATTTGTTAGGGATGAAAGGGTAAGGAAAATCTAAGACATAAAATTAACTTTAAATTAATGGATTTTCCAAAAGCGGAAATGTAACTAAGTAAAGATATTATTATTGTGATGGCAGGCTGGCAGTTCATTGAGGTAATCTGCTGAGGAAATCGTGATTAGGAGAGAGTTTCTCACTTCTATCACACAACTGCTCAACAACTAATTTCGTGCATGATGAGTCGATGATCGAAATTATCACCCAAGAAATGGCAATAATTACATGTGTTGTTTGCCTCCTCCACAATATCCATATGATTCCCATCTCTTTCTAAAAATACTTGTACGCTGTTAGAGGTTTCAGACTTCTTTTTTTTCCTAAGATAATTTGACTATCCAGAATTTAATTACCAAAGTCCAAGGATATTGCCAAAGATACTATTAAGTAGCAAAAGTTAACTATATAGTGTGACGCGCACAATTTTTGCATATTAACCGAACTCATTACACTCATCCTAATGATCTCAGAAGAAAAACCGATACTTTTCAAAAGGAATTGATCGTGATTTTGAACATGTTCTTTCCATGACGAAAACTCATTACGTACTCGTATCCGATATCCAAGTTTGGATACTCTCTGATACCCTCCGATACATATTAAATACATATTTTTTTATATTATTTTATAATTTTTAAATTTTTAATATGTATCGGATACGTATTTTTTAATTATTTTCAATACATATCCAATAAGTTGGGACACGTGAAAAAGAGTGTTATTGATTTTAACCTCTTTTAAAACTCATTGTCATTGACAATAGATTGAAAAGGTTTTTTTACTTTATGCCGAATATTAATAATATTTATTAGAAGTAAACAATTAGATTTTTAAATTAATCTTTTAATACATGTGAAATTGTATTAATAATTGACAAATATATTTTTATTATTGGAAATAGATACTAACTAGTATTAAGGAGGTATTTGTTTTCCATTTTTGTATAAATGAGAATGAAAAATATAGTCGTTATGGACCTCACACAAGAAATAGAAATTCAAATTTGGCGACTTGATGTAATAGATAACAGTCATATTTTTCATTTTAATGGAGAAATAATGGAAAACAAACAGGGGCTAAATGATTGGAATACTTACCATTTTGCGCACTCTATGAGAAAGAACAACTCCACAAAGCACTGAAGAATTGATTTTCATTCACAGCAATTTGTGTCTTTTATCAAAAAAAAATTAGATCTCTATTCAAGAGAAAAATTCAAAATGTACGACATTATTGGAGACTCGTTTTATACTCTTGAAATTGTTAAACTGTTTGATGTTGATAATCTATCATTAGATGAACCAGAATTTGAGATCGTTATTTTGAATGATACTGAAGAAGCTAATGTTAATGATGTTGAAGAAAATGAAGTTGGGATAATTAAGGATTAATATAAAATGTTTTAGCATTTTATTTTATTTTCATTATTATGCTTCTATTTTAAATTTTTTTATATTTATAAAATTATGTTAAATTTTATAACACGTATCCACATATTCAATTTTTTTTTTTTTTTTAAAAAGCCGTACCAACGAACCCATATCATATTGTATTCAAATTACATATCCGTATCCGTGCTTCTTAGGTGATCTCCAATCATATATTATTTCCAGTATTTAGCAGTTCTTCAACTTAAAACTACAGTGCATATTCGGTCTCATCCCATATGGATAAGATACGAAAACCAACAGCCCAGTACACTAAGCATCCTTTTGATGAAAAGTCCATTTGTTTATTGGTTAAGTTTCAGTTGTTAAATACTACCAATGCTCTAGCAACATCACCTTGCAGCAATCATTTCATGCATTTAAACATAATAGTTATACCGATGAAATCAAAACTAGAAAGAGAAAGCTAAAAAATTGTCGGATATTCTTTACCATCTCTTTCTTGAGCTTCATGTTTTCCTCCTCAAGATGTGAAACCTTGCTCACCAACTCATTGTGGTAAGCCTATGCACATTATCATATGGTAATTGAAGTCAGAGATGTAGAACAAAGAAAAAATGTATGTAAAGAGAACATAATACAAATTAAAAGCTTGCCTGTTTTCTCGCACGAGAGCGTGCAGCGGACTCCCTATTTTTAATCTTTCTCCTAAGCCTTCTCTCAAGGGTCTTGTCAAGATCTCCAGTGTACCTTCTCCAGCCTGGGATAGGTGTATCTGACAATGCATCAACTGAAGGAGAAGGAGACAACCCCATTTGGGGCGTGAAACTCTGTGGGGTTAATGTGTTGTCCAACCCCATAGCAGGTCCTAGAGAAGCATCAGCCACATTAAGCCCTGCTCTCACCAAGAAATCCTCCAGAGTGGTCTCCCCAAGAGTTGGCTCCCGTTCGTGGCTAATCATTTCTTCCGTGTACCTAGTCATTTGTCGTTGCTGGATATCCTTCCACACCTCATCAACTGTCTTCCCCCTCAACGTCCTCACAAGTGACAGGCTAGCCTGGCGCTGGAGCGAGGCCGCAGGGGAAGCGCTAGTTGGGTCCATTCCAGAAGAATGGCTTGCCTCTGCCTTCCAAACATTCTTAAGCAACTCATCAAGGTTCATGCTGCCCAATGGTTTACCTAAATCACCTAATTGGTTCTCAACCTCATTGAGAGTAAGCCTAAACCAAGAAATTTCTCTTGCCATTGGCTGTTGTACATGAGACTGCTGCTCACCAACCATCGCATGAGAATTCGTTGTCTGAATCCCCATTCACTCCGTCAACTCCAAACAATTCTATACTCTAAAGCAACAAAAAAAAAAAATAAATCCCTAATTAAATATCAATCAGCTTCTTCTAAGAACCTTAAAATTAATATTTTCACGTCAAGATTCTATCGTTAAGACAATCATTAATATGAAAGAAAACATAAGTAGCAATCATGCAGTTCATTATACATGCATTTAAGCAAGCATAAACATTCTTCAAGAAAAATGTTAACGTCGAAAGCCATGAAACTGAGTCATAGAAAAGATTGTATAAATCCCATCCCATCCAATTCCACCCGCGAAATAGAAGACGAAAAGAAAAAAAATGAATCGTTTTCATTTTCTCCTTAACAAGACGAGGATTTTCAGCAGCCAAATAACCAAACAGCAGAAGAAACGCCCAAGATTTTAATTTTATTCCAAAATAACAATATTACAACACTGAATATATTACATAAATTGCTGTAATTATAGGAAACAAATCCCACAAATTAATTACCTGAGGGATCTGATTATCTGGGTCTTTACAAGAGAACTGTGGGGAAAATTCAAAATTGAGAGAATAGATAGACCCCTTTCAATACTGTGGCCTTCTTTGAGGGGTCCACGTGTGCGTTGAGTTTTCCAATAGAACAAAATTTCTTCTGGGTTTCATGCTAACAGTGGATTCCAGGTTACCCGATTTTGAATTGTTTTATTTTCTAGGGAAATCGCGATTAATGTGATTTAACTATTCAATTTAGAGCCATTTGAGTCACATTATTTCAAAAAAAAATATTTTTAAACAGTGATTTGATATCATTTCAACCACACATTCTTCAATAAAATAATATTATACGCAAATCAAAAAAAATTTCTTATTTTTTAACCACACATTTCTCATCAATACACTATTCAAGAATACATTATCACCAAAATAATATGGCTCAAACACCCCCTTAAGATTTTTCTCTCCTAATAAAATTTGCTATTTGAACACTGATTTTTAATATTTTGATTGACACTTGCATTGTTGCCAAGTATCGATATGTCAATTAGATAAAAAAAAATGTTTGAAATTTAAATTGTCCAATAAGATAACGTGATAAAGTGTAAACTAACATGTACACAGTGTACATGTAGCAAGGTTCTTTGGGAAGTAACAGTTTAATTTTTAGATAAATATTGTATAGGTAAGTACGTAATAATTATTGATAATTACGTAATATTTATTGATTTCAAATGTGACTTAAATATATATATATATATATAAACAATTTACAAATTGACGTTAATTTCTCCCTACGAAAATTGCATTGGTTATCTCGTCATTTTGAAAAGTGGAAATGGGTCCTGAAACTTTCATTTTTGACAGTTAAGTCCTTAACCTTCGGGTAAATAAGCGATGGAGAACTTTTGCATGGTTTCTGTCAAAAAAATCGTTAATTCAATATTTGACTTATTTTAAAGGGAAAAGTGGCAGCGTTAAAATTTGGGTTATTGACATAAAGTGCTTTTATGTTTAGAGTTGACTGTTCAAAACGTTGTTGCGTTTCTTTTTTTTTTTCTTTTTTTTTTTTTGGCATTTACACCACTATTTCCTCCCTTTATTGTTGAGATCATTACTTTCATTCATTTTATAAATAAAAATTAGTAAAATGACGAATATACCCTTACATTTAAATAAAGCAAAAAAAAAATAGAAAAGAAAAGTAAAGAACTAATTGCAATCATGATCCCAGATTTTTTTAAAAGTACAAAGGAGTATCAATAAATTATTAAAAAATTAAAATATATATTCCCCCTTCTCTGCCTCTACCTCCACCTCAACTTTTTTCCACAATTAATTTATTGTAGTTGGGGCATTTTTAAGATACTCTGTTTTTAAAGAGCATATTTTATCATTTGGAAAGTTTCTATAAATTTTGATAGTTAAAATTTTGAAATACTTCAATAAATTTTATTACTCCCAAAAAAATTTATTATTTTTCTCTGTCTTTTATTTTAACTAGCATTTCTCTAGATAATTGTATTATTTTTCTATATTAAAAATTGAAAATTGAAATACATTGAATCCATTAATTATGGAGAGTGTTACGAGAACCAAACACATTCTCTAAATTAAAATATTAATTTAAAAAGTCTCTTTGAGCATGATTTTAAGTGTTAATTATATAAAATATAGAACAATTCATGTTTAAAGAGTCTTTTGGAGGTACTCTTATAATCTCCAGGTAATGTAGCATTTATAACATCCGAGTGCACTACTACTTCATAAAAGCCAATAAATTGGGGATCTATCGCTTGTCTCGCTCATGTAGGGAGTCATAGTCAGAATTTGTGGAAACTTAATTCTCTTATTCAACTTTCCAAATTTGTCCGGCTATAAAACAAAAATCACAAGCAACTCATAGAAACTAGAAAACAAATGAAACACATTTGATTCAAATGGTAATCTAAAATCTCTTCAGAGCAACAGTGAGGACATTAGGGGCTTCCAGTACTCTGAGCTTTGTTTTGGCCTTCTCGTATGATCTACATCGGATAAAACCAAGACGTATTGTAATAGATCTTCTCGTGTGTACCATCAATATTGAAAATGTAAACCCACCTCATCAGCATTGGAGAAGTTAAGACCATATTTAGGACCAATTAACTACAAGAAATTAATTGTGGAAAGAAGTGGTGGTCGTTATATATAAATGTGTGTATATGTATGTATGTATGTATAATTTATTTGGTTCTCATTTGTATTTTTTAAAAATTTTGGGAGTATGGTTGCAATCTGTTATTTGTTTATCTTCTCTTTTCTTTTTGTTCTATTTAAATATGAGGCAATATTCGTCATTTTCAAAAAAATTTATTCAGAAAATAGATGAAAACAATGCTTTTCACAATGAAATGAGAAAATAGGGATGAAAATGTGGAAAAAAAATTAAAAAAACGTAGAAACGTTTTGCATAATTAACTTTAAACGTATGAACATTTTGTGCTAATAACCCAATTTTCAAAGGGAAAAGTTGCAGCGTAGAGATAATTCCTCTTGAAAAATAAACCAAATAAAAATGTATTTAGAGAAAAAATAATTCAAAAATAAAAGGTATAATCTTTATCTTCTCCAACACCCATTACGCAACCTATTAGAACAAATGAAATGGAAATCCTCAATTAGCATTCATTCTGAAATCGTTTACAAATGATCATCTTAACAAGGTATAAATAGGCGCCAAAACACCGACTGGGCTAACTTCCAGCTGGTACTCACAGCTATCATACAGCTGGCATAACTAACATAGACAGCTGGCTTAACTAACAACCGAACAAGCTAACTACCTGCACATCTATACAAAGAATACATCAGATCTAATACTCCTCCTCAAGATGTGATGTAAAGATCTTTTACGCACATCTTGAATAACAAAGGATGAAGAGCTGAGGCAGGTAATGGCTTGTAAGCGTCTACAAGTTGGTGCTTTGATCTAACTAGAAGAAGTTTCATGATCCCTGCATTGATTTTGTCATGAATAAAGTGACAATCGATTTCGATGTGTTTTGTTCGTTCGTGGAAGACAGGATTTGTGGCAATTTGTATAGTTGCATGATTGTCACAGTAGATAACTGCTGGGGATGCGAGACTAATATGGAAATCTTTCAACACTTGGTGAATCCAAATGACTTCACTTACAGTGGAAGGAAGAGCTCTTTATTCCGCTTCAGCTGAGGAACAGGATATGGTTGGTTACCTTTTTAATTTCCATGACACCATTGCATTGCCAACGAAAATGCAGAATTCGGTAGTGGACTTACGTGTATCAATACAAGACCCCCAATCGGCATCAGAAAAGGCACGAATATTGATGGTTAAACCTGATTGCATTTGTGATGGGAAGAAAATGCCTTGCCCAGGCTTGCCATTCAAGTACCTCAAAAGGTGATGAATACCTTTAAGGTGTGACGTTCTTGGCTGAGACATGAATTGGCTCAATTTATGTACCGCAAATGTGATGTCCGGTGTTCGCGTATTTATTTGTTTTAATTTTAAAACCCACCGCAAGTGTACGGTTCGTTAACAAGTAGTAAAATGGACTTGAGTTCAAGAATCGTTCCCACGAGGATTGGATTAGCTCTAATTAGACTAATGTGACCTTAACCGAATCTAATTGAATGAAAATTTGGTTTAAATGTGAAAAGCCCTAATTTTGGAAGAAACCCCCAATTAAAAACCCTAACTTTTAAGAAAACCCTAATTTCGAAATTCCACTAATTAAACGACTCAACAACTCAACTAAAATGTAAATATGTAATGTTGTAAATGAAATTGTAGAAATAAGTTGAAATAAAATCATTGGGACATCGAATCCCCATTTGATTTCTATAAACCCTAATTTCACAAATCCAATTAATCAATGGAAAATTGTCAATTCAATGTTCCTACGCCTATCTAATATACTCTCTCGATATATATTGGATCTATTTCTGCATATCATCAGCCTATATTTCTATGGATGATGCAACATACAAAAACGCATGAAATTCTATGAACAATTACCGAATTGCATAAAGCATAGGGGTATATTTCTATCCCCTATCGGACCCTATGTCAATTTATATATATCGAGTCTATTCTACTTCTTTCGAATGTAAAGAATAAACCATCACAATCACATAATAAATGGCCAATAAATCATGGATTCAATCAAAGCAATATAAATCAAACAATTTATTCCAAAGATAGTTTATATTAAACTCATGAAATATAAGAATTTATAAGAAAATCAAAGGTTCATCGACTCCCAATGAAATAAAAAATTAGCCTATCATGTTTTGAAGAAAATTACAAAGATTCAATAAAGGAGAAGACATCACCCTATTATAATTGATGCTTGAAATCTTCAATCTTGATGAAATCCTCCTTCTTCTTGCATAAATTCTTGGATCTTGATGTTATTGTATGCCTCTTTTCTCCCAAAATCGTCTACCCAAGTTCTGGACGTGTTTTAGGGTATATATAGCGTGTCCAAATTAGGTAAGAAAGGAGTTGGAGTCGAAAAAGGAAACTGTAGAGAACCCCCCGAAATTTCTTCTATGCGACCGCATAGAAGGAACCTATGCGGTCGCATAGGTCATTTGAAATGCCCAATTATTTTCCCTGCATCCATCTATGCAACCGCATAGATGGTTACACTATGCGGTCGCATAGATATAACCAACTATGTGGTTTTTACATTTTGGTCCCTGAACTTCCTTGTTGCTTCTCTTGACTTCTTTCTTCGATTTCTTCATCTTTTCAACAAATTTTATCTTCCAATTGATGATTGACACCATCAATTCTCATGCCACTCATTCGGCACATCTTTTGAGTATTTGCCCTTTAGTCCTCCAACTTTCAATTGTCTTCATTTCAGTCCCTCTTCAATACTTTCTTCTTCCAATTGTTTTGCTTTGTCATTGAGCTCATACTTGGCATGTTTTTACTCTTGTTTTGCATTTAGCTCAACTTCTCAATATTTGCACCTTTGGTCCTCGAACTATCACTTTGTTGCGTTTTAGTCCTTCTTCGGCTCTTTTCTCCTGAATTCCACAATTTCCATTGAAATACCTACATTGCATGAATTTAATAGGATTAAGCCACATTTCAACCACTTTATCCATATTTAAATCATGTTTGTGAACCAAATAAGTGTGTAAAAACATA